AGCTCATCCTCATGATAATCATCAGATTGCCACGAAATGACCTGGTTCTATAGGGAAATCCCAATTCATTGGGCATTTCAATGCAATCAAATAGAAAATCCCAAAGAATTCGTACTCTATGATGGGATGTGATTCCAATTATATAAGTTGTATTTAGTTCACTGGGCTATGATAAAATTGGGCCTAGCCCATTACTGGTTTAAATCTGACCATTGCCTGATAACACATTTGAAATAAGCCCCATTACCCGACTCATTTGATGGACACGTGTGCTCCTCTGTGCTCCTTTGTGAAGCTTCTAGGGTTTTCTCTCTGTTGTCTCTTCCATTATTTCTTTCGATTTCTTTGTGTTGATCAAAACTTCTCATTTTAGTTGTTGAATTTGTGTGATTTGTGCCTATGTGATTTTTCGATTGAGGGTTTTGAGTTAAGATCAGTTGTTTGATCTTGAGTTCCATTGTAGTAGCTGCATTTGTCTTCAATCTTTAGAGTTTAAGTCTTTGTTGTTGTTTCTTTTGTACAAAGGGTTCAATGTATTGTTCTGGGCCCAATATATTATAATCAATACTTTGTTGTTGATAAAATTTGTGTGTTCTTCGATTTCTTGAATTTACTGCTTCCATTGTGTTTTGGTTCTATCAGTGCTATCAGAGCATTTTGGGTGGCTCTCTGGTCCTTCGATCGTAGTTCTAGGTATGAAAATTAATTTCACAACCAAACCCTTCCAGATCTGATTTTTTGGTAAAGCCCTGATTCGATTTTTTATGGATCTTGGTTTTTTGGTGGTGATTCTTAAGGAAATATTGGTCCTCTGATGACTACTTGCTGGTTCTTGGTGAATGAATTCAAATACTTAACTTCATGTTGGTTGTTTTGTTGAACCCCTTGGTATTTGGTGATGGCTCTTCAAAGTCGTTTGTTAAAAAGTTTCCAACCCCAACTCTCATGTCTTGAATATTGTTATTACCCCCATGTTACCTCTTCTTTGTTTATTCTTATTTCTGGTGTTTACGAATTGTGCCTTGACTTGGGGTCGTGAACCTCACGGAACCCTGGTGAATTCTAATATGCAGAAATTGGAGGAACTCTCCTTATTTGTCCGTTTTGATTTCAGTATTGCAATTCCTCCTTCAATATGGTTATTAATTTGTTTAATTTCATCGTTAATTTCTTGCATCACTATTGTTATTAGTATGTTAAATTGAGTGATAATTCATTTCTTTTTTTTTTTTGTGTGACACTGAGTATTTGTGTAACATTTTATTTTTTGGAATATCTCTTTTTCCTTTTCTGTTAGACTCTGATCTCAAATCTTTTCTTGTGTTGATTAAAAACTTCAAATGACAACTACTACGTTTGAACTTGGAGTTTTTAATGGAGGGGTCCTAGTTCAACAGAAAGTTTCAAAGGCTATGACTGGTGATTTTCCTGTTAGTATGACTGACCAAATGATTGAATCTAATGAACTTGTCTATACTTCTATTATTCTTTATTTGTCTGATAGTGTTGAGAAAAGTAAGAAAACTTGATAATACTAAAGCTTTGCGGGACAAATTAGACGAACAGTACTTGGTTAAGTCTCTTCCTAATAAACTTTTTCTTCTTGAGAGATTCTTTAGTTTTANGATAAGCTAGAAGAGCAATACATGTCTAAGAGTCTGCCTAACAAACTTTTCCTTTTAGAGAGGTTCTTTAGCTTTAAGATTGATATGTCTAAGTATTTAGATGATAATCTTGATACTTTTAATAAGTTAGGTCGAGATATTACTAATGCTG